ACGAGTTCATCGGACAGGCAGAAGTGTCTTCAGAAGCAGGCCGTGTTCCTCTCTCGCAAACTGCTGAGGAAGCATCTCACTACAGCAACAATCTGCAAGAATTATTTGTTGAACAATATCTGACAATGAAATAAACAGTTCATTCAGTTTTGTCACACCCATTTGTTACCTTCGCGTTTTCTTCAAGAGCTTGCGTTGGTGTGCGTAGATCTTGCACGGCAAAAGAACACGACATCTTTGTCAGGAATTCCTACGAACTTAGTCTTTCTTGTTACAGGGTTTCTACAAGTGCACCCGATCTGGTGAAGGTTACATATTTCCCCAGCTAAATTTATTCACATCGGCACATACAAAATGCTTTATGAAAGAAGTAATTCTACATAAGATTTCAAGTTTTCACGGCTGTGAGTCTGAAGATGGGGATTTTCTGGCTTGTTCCGCCGTGTCGTCTGATAGATGCTTCCGACGTTTCAGAGGTGCTTGCTACCTCCAGCATCTGGGCGATCGATACCGAAACGACCTTTCCTCCCACACTGCGCTCATAACCGCACATCAAATACACGCATTTTAATATTATTATAGGGATCAGTTACGAGTCGTAGTGCAATGAGCAAAACGCCACTGTTCTCACACACCATAGGCTCCGTAATGCACCCTGGTGCTAATAGCACGATGATGTGGAACTTTGGTGTGCTGAGAGGGAAAGGCAAGTCGATATACTGGCTGAAGAAAGTTGCAAAGCTTAGTGGCTCAGTGAAAGTCGCCTCTCAAATCCTGTGATTCCACTGACCGTGTGCTAAAGATTGTAGAAACAATAAAGATGTATGTTTTGTTAAATGTTGGTGCTAAAGTCTGAACCGTATCTTGATTCCTACAAAGAAATGTACGATTCCCCTGTCACGAGGCCCGGGTTTTCTTTAGTTTTCTACTCTCGTCTTAGTTCCTGTAAGAAAATTCTGTGTAATATCTTAAAAGTAAAGGTCGCTACTAATATTATCATGACCCGTATACCTTCTTTATTCATGCCGCAACAAGCCTGCAGCAAAACGATAGGTAACACTTCTAAGTACTTCCGGTTTTAAAAATTGTTCTCTTCGTTTTGATGCACTGAAACTCGTAAATATTTTATTCTTAATTGAATAAAAATTTACTTGGATATTATCCATCGTCTAGTAATGAAACGTAAAAAACGTAAAACGACGTTTCGGAGATGAGTAGGAACCTGAAGACGGAGATAGAGCCTCATCTCCGAAACGTCGTTTTACGTTTTTTACGTTTCATTACTAGACGATGGATAATATCCAAGTAAATTTTTATTCAATTGACTCTTCACCATCGTCAAGAAGTTTTAGATTTGATTTTATTCTTAATTTAGCAAAGATACAGTAACAGCAATTATTTTGTGAGATCAAATGCGATGCGAAGTAGTTTCATAAAAATTAATCAAGTGGGAATGAGGGATTAATTTCCTCCAGAAAATCGAATTTTGGACTTTCTATAATTGTGAAACCAAACCGCGATTATTTCCTTAAAAGACGTTAACCAGTTGATATTTGTAATGGTTATGCGTTGTGTTTTCTTTGCGGTACGGACCGAATTTTTAAACACTACTAAGGTGAAATGAGGTGCTTCATAATTGGTCATCGTCTTCAAATATTAAGGAAGATGCCCCTACATTGCTCACGGCTGGAGCTACGCCCGCATTCGAACCGATAACCACACCAAAGCTGTCCTACCTGTTCTTCTTGGGGCTGCTGATCTTGCAAGGCTGCTGATGGCTCCAACGGCAGAGATGCTGCGAGATGCGTCGCTATACACAGGACACACAAGAACGAGGTCCGCATCTTAAGCGCTGAAACAAAACAACCAGTTGTTAGAGAGGTAGGATTCAATTCACTTCAAACAAAATATCGCGTTCCCAGATGAGAATTCTGGTTCTCATGGCGATACGCACAAAGTTGGCTTACTGCTTCTATCATCAGGATAAGCTGATGTTGGAGGCAGTAGGCTCCTCTAAAAAACATCGGTCGGTATCAGCTAGACTACACGGCCGAACGTACCAAAAGACAGCTGTATTAATACATTCCCAGACGCTTGTGTTTTTTAAACGAAACTACGGTAATACTGGGCTTGATCAAAAATGTGCTGTTGAAAAACTAATCGCACTACATTCATCATATTGCACCGAGTCATAAATTACTTTTCCTTGTATTTCGTTAAACATTTTCTATATCGAAAATTATTTAAGTTAAATCCCGTAGATCTTAATTAGTTCTGTATTTTATATGACGTATCATTTGTTAGTAGCAATGGGCGACTTTTCATAAATCAGGTAATTAATAGTTTTCTTTAGGATTACAAATGGTTACCTAGTTTGTGTAATACATTATAACAGAACTCAATTACCTTACTCCATATTTCTAACAAGTCGCCTTTCATGATTACTTCACCATTTGTTATTTATGCTGATGACACATCGTAGTTTAATAAACTAGAATATGCTTTGCACTATTTTTAAAACGAATATCTGCATGTGCGATTACACAAATGCCCGAGCTTTCCAAAGTGCAGTCCTTATAAATCACGTATGTTTGCAAAACGGAGAATGAACCTCACTTATTAAATGCAACCATCACGAACGTTGAGATATTTTAGCGAAGTTCCCATCGGGTGAGATAACACTGCACAAACTGCTTCAAGTCTGGAGATAATTTTCACAGATCACGCATGGAATTGCACCCTGAGCACAATCTCATAATATCCCCACAGCACTAGTAATGTAAAAAGAGGAATGACAGAGAGGGTGGGCTTGGCAGCTGCCCCGGGCGTAGAAAGGGAAGGAGGTGCACAGATAACAGCCACAAAATGTCCTGAAGGAAGACTGACCGAGTTTCAAACTACGTACTGCAGAGAGTGGTTTGCGAACCCCAAGTGGCCCGTGAGCTTTCCTATAGTGCTCCATAGAACAATCCGTTTTTAATTGAGAAGATACATAGAAAGTAGTACGGACATGTCAAAATACGTTTAATAATTGAATTAAGAAAAATTTTCATATTTAGAATACATAAAATACCGAAGTGGTCTGCCAAGAACCCTCAGAAAATTTCAAATGGTCTAGGAAGTGAAGTTTGGAAACCACGCCAACTTCTCGGTGCAAATTTACCTTTGGAACTGGGAACTGGAGTGAAGCTGGGTTTTTCCAGATGCGGACCAAGGTAATAAACATCACCCACACTAAGAACTACGTTGTCTGATGAAGTAGGTTTGACTGAGTGATCAGCACTAGAGCCTGCCAGACGTGGGTTGCATAATCCCAGCCAGTGTTGTACAACTGATCCGGCGTGGAAGGAATTACCAAATATCAATAAGCTTTCCTTTGCTATTCCTGTCTGTTGTTATCTTCATGAAGCCACTGTTGTCGATCACAGAATATCGGAAACAGCTGACTCTGAAGACGCCAGGAAAACACTTGGAAAATCACAAAGTTTGCTAAAGGGGATAACTTTTAACATTGGTTGATTTTAATTAAGTCTGGGAATAGGAAAGAGGTTTATACCAAAACCACGAGGGTGGCAAGAATAAATTCAGAAAATGATTCTATTATCCAGTCCAAAAACATATAACCTCATATTAGGTGATAGGATGTGGGCTGGATTCATGTGGCTGAGAATGCGGTAGTAAGCCTCCTAGTTCCGTCAAAGGCGGGAAATATCTTTACGAGGTTAGCGACTATGAAGGTCGCATATCCTTCCATGTGTGTGCCGCCACTGAAAACTTAACAGTCGCATTAATGAAAGTATTATTGGAAGTTTAGAATCACTGGAGCATAACTGTTGCGAAAACAGAGTAGTTTTCTGTATAAAATCAGTGGGCTCGGATTGAGAGAGGGAGAAAGTTAGTCAGTGACACCATATGAAAGGCACCTATCCAAACACTCTCGGCAACTACAACCAATAACAAACGATTTGCGAAGTGATTGCAACTTTCTCAGTTCGTATTCTTGAAGAACTGCATTTTATCATCTTCACGACCTGCAAATGAAGACGGTAGGTAGGCTGCGTACCAAATTAGAAAATTACCAAATTAGAAGCGACTACAATTGCTGTAAGCAAATGGCACGGCGACTCAAACCCAGCCGTGACATTTGCAACGGATTACAAAACGGACAGTTCAGAAGACACAGGGACTCGATTCCGGACTCGGACACGACCTTTCTCTTCAATACAACGTCCAGATCGGCTCTGGTCCATTCGTATTTTACGACGGTTATGAAATTAATGTTTTGTACAGTATGAAGTATTCCTACGTATTGTTTGATCAAAAAGCCCCGAAAACTATTTATATTACACGAAAAGACGCCTGTCTCATTTTACTTATCTTTCTCACTAATTGGACTCACGAGACCTGTTAAATATTTTGGCTCGAAAATCTGAAAGAAAAGAGCCACTTTGCAGACCTAGACGTTGATGGATCTTAAACATGGAGATGAGGCTGGGAATATATTTACCGGATGAGGGAGTATCGGCTTTACAAAAAGAGTGCTCTAAGGAGTTATTTTTGCCTTTGTATTCGGTTAAGAACGCAGTCTCTTGCAGGCACAGTACGAACTTTTGGATCACATAAAAGACGACAAAATTTCTTTACCAGCTGAAATCGATGTCAGCTTTGCAAAAAGGAATCTGGTCAGTGCAGCTGGTTAGCTTGGGTAAAAACAAAGGATTCAACAGGCTTCTTCACCTTGGTCACGGAAAGTCAACTAACCATGGTTTTTGCGATAGTCAAAACCGGTTTAATAATCCTTGACGCAAAAAGAAAGGATTTACAATTTTATGACGCTGTTGTGACTAAACGTTTTCTATTTTGTTGGTTTTGTACGTATTAGGCCCTTTCGAAATAAATGCTAAGGTTCAAGGCTTGATTACTCCAGCATGTAACAACCACTTGGTACTCGGAACAGGCCCGGGTGAGAGCTTTTGCATTCTGATGGCGAATCTCAACAAAGTTACTTAATCTCAGTCCATTGTGATGCTACGACATCGTTGCAGCTGACGCGTTGACACCGTTTTGCTGCTTTTTGCTATCATGCTTTACGACACGAATGTCGATAAAATTTTATGTTTAAAACAAGTACCAAAATTCTTAATAATTCCCTAAGCACAAAGCCTGAACCCTTTGAAAGACGATCATTAATTCACTACACTGCAATTAACTTCGTACATTGTCTATTGTTCGGAAGATAAAATCAAAGAAAGTGAGATGAGCGGAACATGTAGCATGCAATTAGATACGAGAAATGTATTACAAACTTTCGGTTGGAAATCCTTAAAGGAAGAGTCACTTGGAAGTCCCGGGAGTAGGTGAGATATTAAAATGAATCTTAGTAGAATAAAGTTTGGATTGTGGATTGGATTGATCTGGCTCAGGATTTGGACTAGTGGCAGGTTTTCTGTGACCACTGTAATGAACCTTCGGGTTCCATAAAAGACGAGGGATTTTTTGACTGAATGAGCATACTATTAGCTTCTCAAGAGCTCTGTTCCATGGACCATGGAGTTAGTTGATTGTGTGTAAACTACAATATGTGTAATATAAATGGTATTTTGGGGATTGGTTCTTCAAGTATTTTCTTGTAATTAAATAGATGTTTTGCCAATGAAGGTCAACCATTCGATGTAAAAGTTTTCCTATTAATTTGAAGAGACAAAATCTATGAAGCTCGGGAAAATTTAAGTGAAACTGTTATAAATTTCGTCTTCATGTAATTTAATATGTAAGAATAGTATTTTTTTTAAAAAAAAGGAGTGTCTGTCCGGTTGATTTCCCAACGCCCAACTACTTAAGTGGGTCACAAACTTTAGAACAAATTATAGCCGTCTGATTCAAAACAATATTTTACCAACTGAATTACTCACAACAACCTGTAATTACTCGATGATTTTTAGTTGACTTTACTGTAAATAATTGTGTAAAGAAACCACGTAATCGTGTACATCACCGGTACCGCAATATTTTGTTTGTATTCAGACTGATTTTCCAAACAAAAGTGTCGCAGGAAGCGCATGAGTGCCTAACCTTTCCTTCAGTAAAAGTTGAACCAATAAACCAGTAGGTTGACGTATCAATATCGATTTATTCGTAAGTAGCCGAATTCGAGTATCGACCGCTTTAGCAGATGCCGATCAATAGGTTTACTCAACCAATCTAGTACTTTAAAATATGCTACGTACATCTTCCTCCGAAAACCCTATTTTTACAACATTCAGGATCATCTTATTTTGCACCAATTTTAAAACTTACATTCACTTACAGAAATTTACTACGTAACTTCTAAATAATTTGTGTCGCAGTTGAAAGTAATAAGACAGAAACATGAAATTTAGACCTAAATTTAGAATTACGACAAAGTACGTGATCTTCCAGCACGACACTTTGTTGAAACGTTATCAATTATCAGATCAAATTTCCTGCTTTTAAGAAACCAGGAGGTTCATTGACGTGTTCACAACAGCCTGTCATCGGACGCTGTCCTCTGTCGGTTAAATCCAGTACCCATCTTACAAACTGTTCTTTAAATACATATTTTATATCACAATATATTACACACACGTCTCACAAGCGAAGGCCTCCAGACCAAAATTTTACACGCAGTTCTCATTTCCCCCAATAAAAACTACGTGCCCCGCTTATCTCTTAATTTAGACTAATAGATGTTATGAAATAACAGACATTGCCCTTACGTAATGTCGGGGCCCCTATCCTCAGTTATGTCTAAAAATTCTGTGAAAATATTTTAAAAATATCTTCGTGAGTAACTGGTCTAAAGCCGCACCTTTATAAAAACCGGCGAGGCGC